TATCAGGAAATAAGACTTCACCTCCTACTCTGTTCTGCCACTCTTTCCTCCAGTTGAATCCTCTATACTGATACAGGTGCTTCTGGGCTCCCCCAGCCTCAGCGTGACTCCTCAGACTTTGATGATTCTTCAGTTAATTCCACCAAGAGAATGCAATGCCGATGCTAGTTTTCTGGCACTGTAGTTTCTGGATCTGCTCAGGGTCCTGCGCTTGTCAATGACATCATCGTACTACTGCAATACCACTCGGCCAAAATATCTTGCATCTCTTTGTCAGTTCTGTTCTTTCACATCAATTTTGGAAAAAGTTTAGCAGTTTTGTTATTAAATTCACGTTTCTTACCACGTAAATGTTTTTGAACGTGGGAAAGTAAGTTCCTGCTAGTCATCTAGTGTGAAGTCATCAAAAGTTGCAGGACCCCGAGTTGGCCAAAAGGAAATATGGCAAATAACATGACGTCCTCCAAAGACACCAGACCTGTGCCCTGTGTGTACTTTAGACCCAATTTTTATTTTTAAATGTTATGAAGCCGCCAATATTTTCCAACGACTGGACATCATTTCATTCATTTTCAAGAACGTTTCGATGGATTTTTCCAGAGATTAAAGGTAAAAATACACATAGTCACTTTGACCAATTTAGGCAGAAAAACAAAAAAGCTTTTGTAACACAGTAAATGTGATTGATTGACTGCTTTATCAGTTTAAAAGAAAACTGCTTTAAATTGAAAAGCAAATGTAGTTGCATCATTTCTGAATGTGTAAAGTCCTAGCTTCTGTACACGTAAAACGGGATGTACCAATCACTCAGGTCACACTAATGCCACTTTAATTGGCTATCAGTCAGACTATTCTGCATGGTGCTTTAACTGATTAAAGTGTACAGAGAAAAGGCTCCAATGGCCAGCAGGAGACTGTGTAACATTTGCAGCACTGGGTTGTGGTAGTTTTTCACCCCCTATGCTGAAATCATTATTTTATGTTTTTGTACGATATGTCTAATGTTGCTTCATCCTTGAGTTGTAGTAAAGGGCATGGATTGCATTCTGAGTTGTGCTCCAAAGAGATGGCCCTTTTTTCCTCTCAATGTTGTCATTTATTTCCCTGAAGCCTTGGAGCCAAAATAAATTGTTGCACTATAAGTCTTCCTCTTCTTAACCCCCTTTTCACCTAAAAATCTACCAGCGACACAAATAATCCATACCCTACTTGAGCTCAGCAAAACATTTACTACATAAACTAATTTTCTGACCTATTCATGGTGTCCACGGGTCCTTAAAAAGTCTTAAATTGGCTTTTCCAAATTTAGGCCTTAAAAATCCTTAAAAATGACCAATAATCCTTAAATACAGTTTCCGAAGGTCTTAAATTACAAAAGACCCAATAAACAAAATTGTTTTATTTCTATAAAATTTTCGTGAATTTCTAGTTGGTGTTCAGCATTTTTTTGTGTATGATGTTGGCATAAGCGGAACCGTACACATTCAGTTGGTTGTGAAAGGGGGCTATTTTTAGATGAGCACATTAGCTGGTTAAGCTAGTGGGATGTGGGGAAGCTCCATGGGGAAGTGCAAGTTTAATGGTAACTGGGTGGTTAATCCCACGTTCGCGACTTGGTTGGCACCGGTTCCAGGCAATAGCTGGAAATTATAGCTTAAATTTAATTTTAAAAAATTGGTAAAATTTGGTCAAAGTGGCCTTCAAAAAGGTCTTGAAAAGTCTTAAATATGGCTCCCTTAAACCAGCAGATACCCTGCTATAAAACATAGCTTACATACGGTTTCATGCAGTTTCTGCTTTGTAAATCACACCTGTCCTGGAAATGAGCTCAGGTATTTCTGGGTCACATCCTGCCCCATATACACCCACTTTCTGCCATAAGTGGACAATGCAAACTACGTTGCACATATTGTGCTTATAAATACACCTGCTTATCGACAGCATTTCATGAGTAACCATGACAACCAAGATCCAGGCTCTGGGGCATTTTATTTCCTTCAAGCAACCCCGCGTTGTTGCCGTGTTGGGCCATGGAGCGATCACAGCATCAAAAGGAAATGGTCAGATGGAGCCTAAGAGGGCAATATTCATTAAAAGTGTCAATGAAAGCGGCATGGTGCGCAGAGATTCTTTATCTAAGGGGAACTTGTACTTAGCCAGGTCCAAAGTTTGCTTAAAGTTGCACTTACTTTTCCATGAAATGTTTTCTTTAGAAATCAGAGTTTGTGTTGAAAGTCACTTACGCAATTTTTAGACTCTTGTTTAGTGCATAAGTGTTATAAATGAGGCTCCTGGTTTTTTCTTTTTGTCAGATCCTCCTATCTCAACTTTGTCTGCAGACTGTTCAGCAGGTGGTAACGTGGCAGTGCCCTTCCCCAGAAGTTTCTACTGTGTTCAGCTAGTCTATTGTTCCTTCACAGCATTACCATCTGTGCTTGTGCACGGGGAAGTGGGTTACATGTGAATAATTGAAACGGTGACCCATATACAAAAGTGCTGATTTCTGTGTAATTGTGCTTGTATGTTTGTGGGGGGTATCCTTCCCATGAGCCTCTTCACTGGCCTTGTTAATGACAACAAAGACAGGAAGGGCATGGGTCACACCTCGCTTTCTGCTTAGGGAGTGTGGAATCAGGATTAACAGATACCATATCCTCGCTGGTGTTTTGAGATTAAGGTTACTTTGACAGAAAACATGCTCCATTTGTCACTGAAATGTCATTTTCACTGTGACTTTTAAGGGATTTGAAGTTTTCCTTTCTCTTTGAACAAGTTTTAAGTGGTTTCTTTTTGTTCTGTATCTATTAAAGCTTTCATATTTAGATGGATGGATGGATATTTTTATTCGGTCAACAACAACAATTTATCAGTTTTACATAAAAGTAATCAAGCAACCGAAAAAAGGAATAGGTTGAAGCCTAGTGGCTTTCAGTCTTGTCTGAGCGTTGAGTATGCGTTTGTGCTACTCTGTTCAAGCTGTTGAGATGTTTACTGTCAGGGAGGAGCAGGTTATGAATCCAGCTATGAATCAGCTCAGTGCTTCCATTAGTGCGACATCCTGAGAGGAGGGAATTATCTGTCTCTCTACAGAGAGATAAAACGACAAGGTATAAAGTCTGGAATAAAATTGAGCTTGGGGCCATAATGTTACAACAGTATTTTGCTATATGACATGTCAGCTCTCAGAATATACAACATAAAAGCTCTGGATTCACATGGACTCCGACTTTTGTTTGAGGGAGGCTCAAATGTATGCATGAGGTTATTTCTTATGTTTTATTGCTTTGAGCACCTGCTCAGTTGGATGGATCCCATGATGGGGGCCACAACAATAGCAGCAGCCCATAACGAGACAAACACATGGTGGTGTTTTTCTTGTGTCGAGCAGATCCTGCCCTCATAGCCAGAGTTTCAGTGAGGGAGTTCCGGTGTAGCTGGTTTAGCTAGTTGATCTAATCTAACATCTGCTGAAACGTCGAGCAGAGGAGCATTTTTGGTTTTAAACCGCTTTTCTGGATCAAATTATCAGTTTTTTAGCTAATCCACCTTCTGTAAGTCACTCTTTTTAATTATGATGGACTTGTTTGATTTCAAAGCTGTCAAAACAAAAAGGGCAAAAATGTCCACAGCAGGAGACAGGAAGGTCATTCATGGGTCAAATGATGGAATAACAGTGTGGATACATGATGCTTGACATGTCTGCCTTTTATATTTTTGTTTCTTCAATTTATCGGGCCTTTGGCCAGATGTGTCAGCATTGTGCAATGTCCTCGAAACAGAGCATGCAGCTATCGGCTGCTGTTTTAATCGATGGGTGCATTCCACCTGCCACAAATAGGTGCGTTTTGAACGTGCCCCTGAAGCAAAGTGACGTGTCACTCCGCTACATGTACACTTCAAGTCTAAATTTCCTAAAAAGTGCGTTTTCAGAACACACCAATCTCAGAAGCTCGGATTAAGCCAGATCGGACTTCAAACATGGGAGCAGTGTAAAACATCTGGAAAGTTTCAAAATACCTTCAGATTTTCTGTTGCTTGAGTGAAAAAGAAAGTCCGTAATAACCGATGGCACCTCTTTGTCCAGATAAACGGAACAGGAAATCAACCAGAACTTTTTGGACACAGGCTGACGTCTTTCTTTTTGCTTGTCATTGTGTGAACTGACAAAATCGTGTGTGAGATTGCAATTGTCAGTTTTTTTGCGACTTTGTGGGACTAGCTGCATGTTACGCTTTCGCTGCTGAGCTCACAGGTAAAACACATCCATTACCATCCGGTGGAAAGCCGGCGGTTATTCGTGATTGCGGGTGTAGGCAAGGCCTAACCCAGTGCACAACTAGGATGCACACTCACCAACGGGCTGTTTAGGATCCTCAGTTAGCCTAAAACAGATATTATTGAAACATGTGTGGCATAGAAGCACCCTGGACCCCTAAATGTTTCAAATACTCTTAAATCCCTTTAGATGAAGTGTAGGTCATGACATCAGCGACTTCCACAGTAGAGTATGTGTGGCGCTCGTTTTAAAAGTTCTCTGTGACGGAGATGAACGTTGCTGAGGTTGGGCACTGGGCGATTGACTCCACGCTCTCACCTTTTCAGGGTGAGGCCCTTTTAAAGCAGATAGATGGCCGGGCACCTCTTCCTGCTTTTTAACGAGTTAAGCACACGACGCCACGTTTTAATGCTTCTCTAAACGCTGCCTTGCTGTGGAGAATGATGGCTTCATTACTTCTGATCAGTTGCAATGACCTTTTGATAGCGAACTTTATAAAGTTCTTGGATTCATGAGAAGGCAATTTGGCACCTAAATGGAAATGGGGGGGGGAGAAGATTCAAGATTTGTTGGAGCCCAGCCTAGAGCCTTGGCACGGCGTGTGACTGTCGCTGCGAGGGCCGTTAAGTAACGACCGCCATCTGTCCAGTCACTTCTTATAGTCTCTCCTTACTCAGGTTATTTACTGTAGGCACGGCTAAATTTCCTCTCTTGTCATTCACAGGTTGTGTGTGTGTGCGCGTGTGTGTCTGTGCGCCTGTGTGCATGTGTGTTTGAGTGAATAAAAGGACGGATAAAGGAGCCCAGCAATGGCAACCAATAAATGCAAAAACCAGAGCTCGCTGGCTCTGCACAAGGTGATAATGGTAGGAAGTGGAGGTGTTGGGAAGTCGGCCCTCACGCTGCAATTCATGTATGACGAGGTGAGTCGGCACCTGGGTCCAGTTGGTTCAACAATAACCGGAGTGTGTTAGAACTTTAAAAACTGGAGCATAAAACACACTGGTGTCACAAATCCTCTCATCCTCAGTTTGTGGAGGACTATGAACCCACCAAAGCAGACAGCTACAGGAAGAAGGTGGTTCTGGATGGGGAGGAAGTCCAGATCGACATCCTGGACACGGCTGGCCAGGAGGACTACGCTGCGATCAGGGATAATTATTTTCGCAGCGGGGAGGGCTTCCTGCTGGTTTTCTCCATCACAGAGCACGAGTCCTTCAGCGCCACCGAGGAGTTCAGGTAATGATACGACACCTGTCAAAGCCTCCCGGTGAGCTTTGAAAAGATTTCGGGGGGGGGGGACGAGAGGATCACATAAAATGTTTAAGCATAACTGAATGAGTTTATTATAATTCTGATGTGTTGGAGCTGTGAAAATCTGACAGGTTTGTCCCGTGTTGGCAGGGAGCAGATCCTGCGGGTGAAGGCAGAGGAGGAAAAGATTCCTCTCTTGCTCGTGGGCAACAAGTCGGACCTGGAGGAGCGTCGGCAGGTGTCTGTAGATGGGGGCCGCGCGAAGGCCGACGAGTGGGGCGTCCAGTATGTGGAGACATCAGCCAAAACTAGAGCCAACGTCGACAAGGTGCTGCCGCTTGTACATCATGAGAACTGTGCAGAAGTTAGATGAGGTGATGATTTAAGAAGATACAGAGTGACTAACAGGTTATCCGCGGGTCCTTAAAAAGTCTTACATTTACTTTTCCAAATTTAAGGCCTTAAAAATCCTTAAAAATGACAAATAATCCTTAAATACTGTTTCCAAAGGTCTTAAATTACCAAAGGCCCAATAAACTAGATTATTTTATTTCTATGACATTTTCGTGAATTTCTAGTTAGTCTTCAGCATTTTTTGTGTACGATGTTGGCGTTAGTGGAACCGAACACATTCAGTTGGTTGTGAAAGGGGACTATTTTTAGATGAACACATTAGCTGGTTAAGCTAGTGGGAGCTAGCGCCTTGGAGAAGTGCAAGTTTAATGGTAAACGTTTGTAACGTGGTTAGCACCGGTTCCAGGCAATAGCTGGAAATTATAGCTTGAATTTAATTTTAAAAATAGCTTAAATTTGGATCCGGATCGAAAGGAGTTAGTTGAGGTGGTTTGGGCATCTGGTCAGGATGCCTCCTGGACGCCTCCCTGGGGAGGTGTTTCGGGCATGTCCTGCCGGCAGGAGGCCCCCGGGTCGACCCAGGACACGTTGGAGAGGTTACATCTCCAATCTGGTCCGGGAACGCCTTGGGGTCCTGCCGGAGGAGCTGGTGGAGGTGGCCGTGGAGAGCACGGTCTGGTGCTCCCTAGTTGGTATGCTGCCCCCGTGACCCGGACCCGGATAAGCGGAGGAAGATGACAACAAGCTTAAATATGGTCAAAGTGGCCTTAAAAGTCTTAAAAAGTCTTAAATTGGGCTCCCTTAAACTTGCAGATACCCTGGACTAAACCATCTACACATGCCTGATTTCTGCACAGCGATGGCCTCCATTGTCATCATGTTCCTAAACACACCTCATTTTCTCTCCACAGGTGTTCTTTGACCTGATGCGTGAAGTTCGAGGCAAGAAAATGACGGAGAACAAGGACAAAAACGGGAAAGGAAAGAACAAAAAGAGCAAGAAGAGTCTGCGGGAGCGATGCTGTTTACTCTGAACTCTTCATGGACCTAAACAGCTGAGATGCTGCGGAATAAAAGCAAATGGGTTTCGTTGTCATTTAAGTGAAAGTTTATTTTTTTAGCGCTTGCGGTGGCTTAGGGTCTAAAACAAACTCGGCCACTTTGTTGCCAATTTAAAATCCTAAAATCTGATCCGGGATCTTACTGGAAGACGAGCACTGTTGGACTGACTGACTCGGACTGCAGTGCTCGAGGACTCGTCGTAAGCTAGCGACCAAACTGCCACTGACACTAACTGTGCTGCTCAAGACTCTCTTAACTCTCATTTACTCCACCTTCTACCTAGCTGTGTAGGTTTGTAAGAAAACATACATTTCACTTTTTCTGCGTATTTTCAGAATGTTTAATTATATAAGTAGCAAATGATAGAAATAACTAAATGCTGCTGTTTGTCTTTTGTGATTTTTACGTCGCTGTCATCCGTTCATTTACTTTACAACTCGGGTGCGTCGAGAACTGATGTTTCACTTTTATTTCTTCTTCACCCAAAGGTTTGTGACTTTATTCTCTTCAATGCTCATCAAAGATTTATGAAGTGCAATCAGAGGAGTCCTGGTCAAACTGGAGCAGTTTATGTTTTCTGACTTGATTACCACAGTTCAAAAGGTTTTTCAGAAAGAAAGCTGCACAATAAGATCTTTAAAAGTCTCACTAATCCATCTACAGCTTTTAAAACTTGTAAAATGTTATGCAATCTATTTTGATGTGAAGTTGGTCTGACAGACGTAATATAACCTTAACTGCAGACATTTGTTCTTGTCATTGCCAGCTGCTGAAGTTTTGAGCCTCTGACTGTGTGCTGTGATGGCCGGTGACAATCCCAAACCACCGCGTTTATCATCCCCGACCTCCTCACATGTTCTTTTGATAGTAAAAATGCATGAACTCGTAGGAAAAGCAATTCTACGCAGAGTGGAAAGTTTTAATCAATGTGCCAACTAAAGCCAAAGCACTTTAGTGGATGTGCTGCACGTTAGTTCCTTAACGGTGCGTTTGTCAGAGGGCTCTACCTTATTGTCTCTGAGCAAAGCTTTGCTCCGTAACTGTTGTTTGTTCAAGTGCTACAGAAAATGAAATGTCTACCACTGCCTAAAATATTCTTTATAACACATGTTTTCTTTTTTTTATCTGGTCTGTAAGTATGCCCGTCTTCCTGCAGCAAGAGAGCTGCAGAATAAATGTTCCTTTTCTTTATTACCTCACATTGTTTTGTTCTTTTTAACTGTTTGATTGTAGCTGTTTTGTCTTTAGGGGTCTGACAACTTTACAGTCCAAAGAGCTGTTTTTTTTTTCTACTGGAATAAAACTTGTTGGGAGACGCAACTACAGGACCTGCTCATAAAGGACAATTTATTATGTGAGGAATGTCAATGGAAGATGAGTGCCACTGACAAAAGTATTTTTTTTTTCTCAGAACATGATAATTCTGGCGGGGGAAAAATCAGAACTTGGATTAAAATCAGGATTCTGACATTTGAATGGCTAAATTAGCCATCTGAAGTTGGAGTTGTAAAAATCTGTAGAAGAGATAGTCTTACCTTGTACTGTATTTTTTATTTTGCTAAGCATTCAGTAGAGCGCCCTATGCAACTTGAGTGCTGCTCCGCATCAGCCAACAGCATTAGACATCTGCTTACGTAAATATGTTCGTGTTTGACAATGGCTTTTTTGCTCTGTTGGTCAGCTTAAAGGGGTGCTATGCAACTTTTCAGATTTTTGAATCCTTTCCTTGAGCCAGCATTGGTTAAAATGGCTACTTACAGGATTAATGAAATGATGCAATACTTTTTTTTTTTGCCTGTAGATGGTGTCCTTTGAGAAAACACTCGGGTTTTTCTGCTGACTTGATTTTTCAGAAAAATTTAGATCTAAAAAAATTACTTCTACTTTCAGTATCATTCTGTTGTGCTAATTCCACAATTATTCCATAAAAAACGGCTTAAACCGGCGTTTTTATCATAGCTATATTTAAAAACTGACCTTTTTTAAGTCACTTGTAGCATTGTGGAAGGTCCAAAGAGCCATTTGTCAGATTCATTTCCCTCTGCTGGTGAATGCAGGTACTGCACCTCGGCTACTTCTTGTGTTTTCGAGTCAGTCTGCAGAAGCTCCACAAAGAATCCAGCAGTTACCCACTTTGCATTAATAGTTTCTCTGCCTGCCAACAGTAGTGCCAATGCTTTTTTCTTTGACTGTACCAGTGTGATATTCTACTGACCCTACAACCTTATGCTACATAGCCTCTAGACGAAGCCCGATCGCGGGGGTTTGTTGCTGAAGCCCTGGGGGTGGCTGGGTCAGCAAAGCTCATTTCACAGTGTGAACTTCGACAGGCGGAGACTGACCATGTGTCACTTTTACAATTGCTTTGGTGTGAAGGACAGGAAGACGCATGTTCCCTTGGTATGCAGAAAGAAGGAAGTGCCACTTAATAGCAAGACTGCGTGTCTTCTGTAGTCAAGTGTGGAACAAAGCAACATGTCCTCCCTTCAGGGACGAAATCAAAAGAGAAGACTAAAATTCAACCAATGATTCTTGCTGTTTTCCTCTTTCAGGAGTATATTGGGACCATGTTCTGTTCTTATTACAATTTTTATTCTATTAGAAGAAATCTGTGGGGCATTTTTCTTCCTTTTTGATATTTCTGTGCAAACTTAATCTTTTTCTGCACAGTTTTAACATCAACTCATCTTTTTTCCCCCAGCAAACACATTAATATCCCCCAGGTCCTCAAATCAATCATCAATTGCAGCTCCAGCCTGTTATTTTTTACAGGATCACAGATAAAACTGCCTCTGGGCTTGTGAAAAAGACTGGATATTTACAAGTATTGATCAGACAGGCAGACAACGGGGGAATTCTTAAATCAGCGTTAACCTTTAAAAGAAAAGAAAACGATGGAGGTAGAAATGCTGTGGGGATTTAAAGCTGTAACATCTATGGAAGCCACTGTTCCACATCTGCAGCAGACTCCACATAAATATACTAATCCCCCATAATTTATATCACCGGTGAAACCTTCTGGGGTTGGAAGCCTGTGGCAGAATTTCCACCTGAGAGGCTAAACATGTCACCGCGCAGATACGCACATTTAGCCGCCTGAAATTCACCTCTCTGGATTCCCACTCCTCGCCTGCACCCCTAAGTAGGCAGATTAGGTGGTCTGTTAAACCCACAGGAAGGCACTTATTTAGAAATACATGAAAGGGCAAAGTGAGCCAGGCTAATGACCGATGCCGTGTCACCGGCGCGCTCTGGGGTCTTTCATCATTCTGCAGAGAGGGCCCCCGTCCTCTGAATAACCCTCATTATATCAGAGCTAATGTTGGGGATGAGGATGTTCGAGTGATAAAGCACCATCACAGTCCTTCATTATACAGAAAGAGAAACAGGCTCGGTGGAATTGTGGTCGACCTATAAAATAAATGCAACGGATGGAGAATAACTCCTTTTTCAACACTTGTGCCATTTCCTGGCGTCCGCATGGTGCTCCCCATGAAGGGAGCCTTGTTCGCTCTGCGGCCATGGGATGGCACTCTTGTTATTCTCTAAGCCCAGTCGGCCGTTTACCGCCTCCTGCATCATTACTGCTCCCAGTATGCCTTCTTCTACCTCAAGGCTTCATTCATTCTTGACTGTGACAGACAGAATAAAAAAAGAAGATTCAGGCCTTATTAAGCATTTAGTTCCTACAGAATAATGACCGTTTCTAATTATAAATACACTATCCATCTGTTAATTACTGCAATGTTATTGGTGATAATGTGGTTTAATTATATATTTATTTGAGTTTTTCAAAACTGTTTATTTGTTCATGACTATTTATTCTGTTATTAATTGTTCAAATGACAACAAACCTATTTCTAAGAGCCGGTTTGGATCTGTAATGGTAGACATTACAGGTCCCTCCCAATCACACTCCTCCAGGTCATGCTGTCATTGCCCACGTGAGCATTGAAGTCCCCCAGCAGGACAATGGAGTCCCTTGATGGAGCACTATCTAGCACTCATCCCAGGGACTCCAAAAAGGGTGGGTAATCTGAACTGATGTTTGGCCCATAAGCACAAACAACAGTCAGGGCCCGTTCCCCGACCCAAAGACACAGGGAAGCTACCCTCTCGTCCCCCGGGGTAAACCCCAACACACAGGCAGAGAGTCTTGGGGTAAACAAAAAGCCAACGCCAGCCCTCTGCCTCTCACCCGGAGCAACTCCAGCAAAGGAGAGTGTCCAGCCCCTCTCAAGGACTTGGGTTCCAGAGCCAATGCTATGTGTCGAGGTGAGTCCGACTATCTAGCCGGTACCGCTCAACCTCTGCCACAAGCTCCTGCTCCTTCCCCGCCAGCGAGGTGACGTTCCATGTCCCAAAAACCAGTTTCCTTGTCCGGGGATTGGACCGCCAAGGCTCCCGCCTCGGTCTGCCACGCGATCCACACTGCACTGGACCCTTCATGTTCCTCCTGCGGGTGGTGGGTCCACAGTTGGATGAGTCCATGTATGCGGTTGGGCGAAAGCCCAGCCACCAGGCGCTCGCTCACAGGCCCCAACCCCAGGCCTGGCTCCAGGGTGGGACCCCGGTGACCCTCCAGGCTGGGTACTCCGACTCTGTTTTTACGTCCATGAAAGATCTTCTGACAATGTCAATGTGGAATCTTAATTATCCAAAATGGCCATTTGTTTTTTTTTTAATTCAGAGATACCGGATAGATTTAAAGAGACGTTTGGATCACCTGTCAGTGTTTGGTCATTTACTTACGTGTCTAAAACAAGCGGTTTCAAAAAGTCCCTATTTGTGACATCATAAATGGAGAAAGTAGAATAGAACCACCCTTCGTGTGCAAGAGAAAGCTGCTGCTGGAGGAGCAGTGGCTCTACTCTGAACCCCCCCACCCTAGATATTGGAGTTTTTCAGCTTATAGCAGCCTGAGCAGGGGATGGGTGGGCATGGCCAGCTCCAGCTTGTTTTCTTAAACTGACAGAAATTGTCATGGTGAGTATTGGTTGGAACCCATACGCAGGTGAGTGAAGCTCTAGGCAGCAAAATTCTTAAATCCATTTATTGTCTGGACTTGGGAGTGCAGAAAAGCCAGGATTAAAAGCACATCAACAGGGCATGACATAAGACGAGGACAACAGACTAGCACTAGACACAAGACTAACAAGGTTTAAATACACCGGGATCAGGTGGGTAGGATAACAAGGGGCAGATGAGTTCAATAAAGACCTAACGAGAGGAGACAGGACAACATGTCAGAGGGAGAAGGAGCAGATCCTGACAGAAATGGCTCATTCTGGAAGGCACTAAAACTGTCTAGCATCGTGTGAGTGAGAATTTCTACAAAGAACCCCATAAACACATTAGTTATTGACCATATTATGACAAAGTTGTTATAACGAATCTACAGAACAAGTTCGGTTTTTAAATGTAAACACAGTCGCGGAACACTCAGCCCTCCCCTCGGGTAAATTCCCTGAGACACTTGTGTCATAACCGGTAACCTGCATTGCCAGAGTAAGCAACAACGTCCTGGACTCCAGTTTTTAGGTCCAATCGTATTTTGTTGTCCGCAACTTCAAATGGTGTTTTTCTTTTTGGGAATCTGGTATTTTGTCTGAAGATGAATGTGTAGTGGCTGGCTGTTGGTCATTCTCTGAAGGAACTGAGCGGAGAACCTCTCACACCAGTGGTGTTCTGTTGCTAAATACGTGAGTGTATTTAGCAACAGCTGCGCTTTGGCAAGACCGACAACCGGATAGTCCAATAGTTGTTTTCAGTCCGAAACTTGTTATTGGTGAAGGCTTTTAGACAATTGCGAGAGAAACACTTACATTTTTGTTGTTATTTTTATATCTCCACAATATATTTGTAGCTATACTATGTTGGAACATTATTTAGAGGCATTAAAAATGTTGGGATCTAGTTAGGATGCCTCTCTAGTGAGGTTTTTCGGCTCCCCCACGACCTGACCCCAGATAAGTGGCCAAAATGGATGGTTAAAAAAACAGTTTTAAGCTAATTTGTTTCCTACATTTGGCATTGTACCTGTAAGAAAAAAGTCATATGTTCACTCAGTCAGCTCAAAAATAAATTCCTTATTAAGAAATTTATATTTGTTGAAGTTTTCTTAAAAAAATTTTTCCCTTTTCCTTTCCACCTTTGTATAATATACTACTTTGGAAGTGCAGCGTCCTTTGGAGCTGCA